CATTGTCATGGCAACAAGGCCCCTTGGCTCCAATCAGATCAATTCAGAAAATAAAGCAAGGTGATGACATCACAATATGTACTGACATCACACAATGTTGGGTGTTAGGGGAGAGGACGGGGTGACAGTGGTTCTACTAGAAAAATAAAATGACATTGTCAGTATAAGTGTAGATTTATAGCATAATGTACTTTTAAGCGCATATAGCTGTAATTACAACGCATTTTATTTCTCTTAGGAACAGGAAATAAATGATCATATAAAAATAAACCATCGACCTCAAACCAGATGTATTTAGTTAGTTACGTGCTGCATTTATAGAACACCCTTCGTCACATCTGAGGTGATCCCAGCTGGTTGTTGTTGTTTAGTCGTTTAGTTGTGGCCGACTCTTTGTGACCCCATGGACCAGAGCACTTCTGTCTTCCACTGCCTCCCACAGTTTGGTCAGACTCATGCTGGTAGCTTTGAGAACACTATCCAACCATCTCGTCCTCTGTCGTCCCCTTCTCCTTGTGCCCTCAGTCTTTCCCAACATCAGGGTCTTTTCCAGGGAGTCTTCTCTTCTCATGAGGTGGCCAAAGTATTGGAGCCTCAGCTTCACGTTCTGTCCTTCCCAGGGGCGCCGACTTATAAAAAATATTGGGGGGGCCCATACCGGGGTCCTGCCCCGGGAAGTTTTCTAAGTTCCAATGTCAGCGGCGCCCGGCAGAGCAGCCCTCTCAGCCACGGCAGCCTGGCTCTCCCAGCCCCCGGGGGCCGCCCTCCTCCCTCGCGCACCCGCAGCGTTCCCGCCCGGGGAGGCGGCGCCCCCAAGGACTCAGGTTCGGTTGTACCTGAGAAGCCGAGCACCTTGGCTCCCAAACAAATCGGCTTCTGAACAATCGAAACCCGGAAGTGAGTGTTCTGGTTTTCAAATGATTTTTGGAGGGCGAACATCCGGTGCGGCTTCCGATTGGCTGCAGGGGGCTCCTCTGGCAGAAGCCGCACTCTGGTTTTCAAATGGTTCCGGGAGTCGAATGGACTCCCGGAACGCATTCTGTTCGAGAACCAAGGTACAGTGGACGCTCGGGTTGCGAACGTGATCCATGTGGGAGGCACGTTCGCAACCCGCAGTGTTCGCAACTCACATTGCTGCGTCTGCGCACACACAGGTTGTGATTTAGCGCTTCTGCGCATGCACAAGTGCCGAGACCTGGAAGTAACCCATTCCGGTACTTCTGGGTTTCAGTGCATCCATAACCTGAAAATGCTTAAGCTGAAGCATCTGTAACCCGAGGTATGACTGTATGTACCAGTCCTAAGGAACTGGCCAAGTAAGGCAATCAGCATCTGCAGGTCCCTTGACAGACAGGAGAGAAGCCACACTCTTGGATTTCTGTTGGTAGATGCCTCTTCCTGAGATGCTTGTATTATGCTAATCATAGAATCATAGAGACAGAAGGGACCCCAAGGTCATCTAGTCCAGCCCCCTGCAATGCAGGAATCTTAGCTCAAGCATCCCTGACAGATGGCCACCTAGCCTCTCCCAGGGAGCAGAGACCGTCTGAACAGCTCTTATTGTCAGAAAGCTCTTCCTGATGTTGAGCCGGAAAAGTCTTTCAAAGCTGCTGCACACCTTTGTTTGGGGTCCTCCCCTCCTTGCAAATGTCAGTGGGAAGGAGGCTCTGTTTCAACAGAAAAATAAAGATTCCCCCTTTCTTCCAGCTTCCACTCATTCGTCTCCGACTGATAATGGACTTGGGAGGCTTTGAGCCCCTTGGGGAGCTGAGCTGTAAAGGACAACCTCCAATTTTCATGCATCAGAAGGAGCCCAGGAGCCCCATCGGGGCTTACCCTGTGCAGGCTGGTTCCCCCCACACACAAACACACACACTGGGTTGCAATTTTGTGGGTCAGCTTTGGCTGGGAGAGGCAGCCCCTGTTAAGTCTCTGCCAGCCCCCCCCCCCCCGCCAAGTCCATGGCAGGAGACAGGCAGCAGCACCCAGACCCCAGAGGCTGCCCTTGGGACTGGCGTTCCCACACTGCCGCCTCCGCAACAAAGGCCAGCGGCCAAGTCCCCCCCCCCCCAGCCGCTTCCTTGGTCCCACAGGAAAGCCAGGCAGGGGCTGCACATCCTGCCCTCCGCCTCTTCCTGCTGCCCCCAACAGACAACCAGGCCTGCAAGCTTCCTCTTCTGACATCGCCCAGGCCCCCACACAGCCCCCCACCAGCAAAACGCCCAGGAGTTTGAAGGGACCCGAGGGCCACGCAGCCAAGGGGTCTAACTCTGCAGGGAAAAGCTTCCTGTCTTTCCTCTGCCCCCTCCCCACCGGAAAGGGATGGTGGCTGCAGGCTCTGCCCCCCCTTAACATCTGCAAAATGATTAAGGCTGATACATTGTGTTACAGGATTTTATCTAGGTAACTTCCCTGAGCTGTCAAGTTGAAAGGGTACATTCAGGCATAATATTTGCAACATTTAACAACTTTAAAGATGTCCCCCCCCCCCCCGTTATTTCCATAACAGTTGGAAGGACAAAAATATAACCTCCTATGACAACTCCTGCAACCCATGAGCTTTCAGACAAAGATCATGCATGGACAAATGTAAAGATCTTTGGAAAGTATTGATCGAAACCACAGTAACAAACGAATCAATGTATCTTCAAGGGAAAGAATAAGTAGATCTATTTGCATATATAGCTCTGTAGGCTTAATGAGATTCCCACAAAACATTAGGAAGGCCTTTCTGGTGGTGAGAGCAGTCAGACAGGGGAAGGGGCTTTTAGGGAGAGGTCGGGGGGGGGCATCTGCCAGGGATGCTTTAGCTGTGAGTCCTGAATTGCTGGGGGTTGGACTGGATGACCTTTGGGTCCCTTCCACCTCTATGATTCCATGACCTTTAAGGGAAGTCACCTCCATCTTCGTCTCAGAGCAGATGCCCACAAGCCCTGGGCGGGAAGAGCCCGAGAGAGAGAGAGCCCGAGAGAGAGAGAGAGAGAGAGAGCGCAGCCAAGCCAAGCCCCCTTCACCGCCCGCCCCCCCGCCAGCCCCCTCTCCCCTCCTCCCTAGGCGGCAGCTCCGCCATGACCACAAACGGCGGCGGCAGCAGCAGCCGCGCGCGGCCCAGGCTCCCCTCGCCGGCCGCGGGAGCCAAGGCGCGCGATAATTTGCTTAAATTATGTCAGCGGCGCCCGGCAGAGCAGCCCTCTCGGCCACGGCAGCCCGGCTCTCCCAGCCCCCGGGGGCCACCCTCCTCCCTCGCGCACCCGCAGCGTTCCCGCCCGGGGAGGCGGCGCCCCCAGGAGAGGCGGCGGCGGCAGCAGCAGCCGCGCGCGGCCCGGGCTCCCCTCACCGGCCGCGGGAGCCAAGGCACGCGACGAGGGAGCCAAGGCGCGCGACAATCTTTTTAATTATTGGGGGGGCAGAGCCCCCCCAATAAAATTTTTGAGGGGGCTCGGGCCCCCTCAGGCCCCATGGAGTCGGCGCCTATGGTCCTTCCAGTGAGCACTCAGGGCTGATTTCCTTCAGAATGGATAGGTTTGATCTTCTTGCAGTCCATGGGACTCTCAAGAGTCTCCTCCAGCACCACCCAGGCTGGTTACCAACACATAAAAACTGAAAATAAAAGCTAAGTGATTACTGCAACAGCATAGAGATCCAGTAACAAGAGGCAACTGAAACTGGGTAACTGGGTGGGGAACCTTCTAAAGGCCACGTATCAGTGGTGGGTGGAGTTGGAGGCAAAAAAGTGGGCAGAGCAACAAATGCAAATTTTGCCTTTGTACAGTACTGTAGTTTCTACATACATTCACACACCATTCTCTATCACTGCCATTCCATGCCCTTACAACTGCTCCTACACTCCTGAAGTAGGAGTACACACAGGTTTGTTTGCCAGGCATGAATGAGGAGTGGTGGTGGAATACTCTGAGCATGTGCCCATTTCACAGTTTAAATTCACTTAAATCGTAGTACCATCAGGAGTGCCACTACAGGAATAAAAAGGAGTTTGCTTCTGCTGCCCCGATGCTAACCAAACACATTTACTTGGGAAAAGGCACAATTTTGTTGTAGAAATGGCTTATACAAGTTTTAAGGAAAACTTAACAAAACAGTTATGTAACTACTCACATGTACAGCTGCTCCACTGAGGTTTTTTTAAGGGGGGAAAAAGGGGGGGAGGAGATGAGGAAGGATGCAGTGATGACCAGGCTCATTTCCATGCCAGCCCAAGAACTACTGTCACTTTTTACATCTATTGCCCTCTAGGCAGTCCTTCAACATACATGGTGTAGTGGTTAGAGTGTCAGATCAGGACCTGGGAGACCAGGGTTCAAGTCCCGCCCGCCCCCCAGTTCATTGAGTGACCTGAGGCCAATTACTGCCGCCCATCTTGACCTACCCTACAGGGTTGTTGGGATTAAACGAGGAGGAGAACCATGTACTTCCCCTTGAGCTTTCTGGTGGAAAATGTGGGATATAAATGCAATAACATAAATGCAATAACGTAAATAAGGCCTAGCCTCCGCTGCACCGAGGCCAACATTCATTTTGCCTTGCTAATGACCAAAGCGACGCTCCAGTGTGGAAAAAAAGCTCACAGAGCGTGACCAGAATTTGTCAGGCGTGTCATTGCACGCTTGCAGGAGCTTTCCTTCGGGTGGGGGGGGCTGCACTTAAAAAAAAGGGGGGGGAGACGCCAATGAGGGGATGGGGGCAAAGCTCGGTAGAAGGGCCCCAAGCCGTGCATTTAACGCTACAGCCAAAGGACGTCAAACAGCAGAGCAGGAGTGGGAAAGACCGGGCCAGGAAGACCACTCTGGGCTAGCCAGGTTTATCTGCCTCGCTACGAGGCAGCTTCACACGCTGCTTAGTCTGACCCTGCTAGAAATGACTGGATAAGTGGTTTCTTTTTTTGGGGGGGGGGTGTATGAGCGTGTGCGCCCTGAGTGGTCCCCACAGCTAAGGACCTCCCCTGCCTCGCGTTCTGTAAAGCGGCTCGCTCCTGCAGCGCCCGGCCACTCCAGCCTCCTCAGCCGGCGGCGTCGGAGCGCGCGCGAGTGAGCGAGCGAGCGTCCTTTGGGCACCTCCGAGTGCGCCTTTCCGAGCGCGCGGAAGAGCTCGCGCGCTGAGGCTAAGGGCAGGCGGAGGGAGCGGGAGCGCGAGGTAGTCCCCCCGCCCGCTTCCCTCCTCGGCTTTGCTGAGGCCGGCAAGAAGCAGCAGCAACAGCAGCAGCTGCTGCCCCTGCCGCCTGGTTGGCTTGCCGCTGCGCCGCGTGCTCGAGCCGGAGGCTGCTTTGCGAGCGCCCCGCCGCCCCGCTCCAGCCAAAGGAGCCGGCGCTGGGCTCGCGGCAGCCGAGGCAGCCCTGGCTCTCGGGGGAGCGACCCTGTGCATGCTGCCACACGCATGTGCGGGCGAAGGCTCCGGGATCGGAGCCGCTGCCTCGGCGGGCATGAAATGTGCGCTCCTCGGGCTGGCGAAATCGCCCAGCAAGAAAGGCGCCGCTGAATGGCCGAGGGGGGAGCGGGAGGAAGAAGGCGAGGAAGAGCCGGCCGGAGCCAGGAGCCCCAGCCGCTGCTTGCCCAGCATGCTGAGGAAGGTAAGCCATGGATGCGGCGCTCCTCTCTCCACAGCCGCGAAGGCTGTGAGAGGAATCCCGGGCAGCAGCTGCGCCTCTCTCTCTCTCCCTCGCTCCCTCCCTCGCGGCGCCGGCGAGGCTTCGCGTTCGGAATTGGCGCGCTTCGGGGCAGCGACATATGGGAGCCTCGTTTGGTTGAGACCCTAGGGAAGGAAAGGAGGGCCACCACCTGCTCCGTGCGGTTCCCCTAAGGCAAATAAAATGGGGAGGTTGCCACACGTTCCTGACAGGGAGGAAACACCGGAGAGGGTACATTGCAGAGGGGGCTTTTCCGTCGGCTCTCCGGTGTCTTGCCGGCTAGTGGTGTCTTTTTATTCCAAAGGACAGTGTGTCCCAAGCCTTGCGAGCGGCTCTGTCGGTCGTACGAAAGCTGTGTCTGTGTGACAGAGAGACCCGGCGCCCTTTTACCATTTATTACACTCACAAGACGGATCTGCTCTGCTCTCCTAGGCGTTTTTGCGGGATCTGGCCGTTAGAGTGCGCAGTTTCCCCAAAATCTCTCCCAGTTCCTCACAGTGAGGAATCTTTGGGGGGCTTTTTGGGCGGGGGGGTTTGCAGTAATTCGGCCTCAAGTGGTACCTTTCTCTAGGCAGATGTTTATCTTCAAATATGTGCCTTTCTTGTCGTGAGGGGGCTGTTGGTAAGGCAGTTAGCGAAAGGTCTTGCTTCACCTCATTTTGGATGTTGGCTGTGTTTTTGCTCAGGGCGCGAAACAAAATCTCAGGCAAATCAATGGGCAAGGTTCCCATTGACGTGCAAGGTGTCGTTTTTGTTTCTAGTTTGCTGGAGTGTGGCATGTGCTGCTCTCATGGATGCACCTCCAGCACATCCGAATATGCCCAGCAGCCCATATATGGAGTGGACCAGGAGCCCTGCCCACCTGCGCATGCCACTGCTTGAGAAGAGCATCCTGGGTTGTGGGATGTGCGCGGTTCACCTGCCCTGTTTCAGGCATGGGCATGGGCAGTTGTGTGGACCAGAGGATGCACCCCGTGAATGTTGTGCAGAAGCAGTTCATACGCTATACGGAAGTGGAGGAAGTACCTTTTGGCCAGCTCCTGCTGTGACTCATGAAGTGGGACTTCCAGACCTTGTACCTGATTTTTCTCATTTGTAATATTCAAATAGGACTTGCAGTGCTCCATTTGTAGCAGGGTTTAGGGTGCCAGTGAGCAGCCACCCTCACTTCCTCCAGCAGACTCCATTCCACCTCCTTTGGTTTTCTGGGTTTTCCCCTCCTCAGCAGACACTGAGCACTTTCTGGTCACTCAGCATCTGGGTATGTGGTTGCTTTTTTAAAATTGTTTTGCATTTGCTTTTTACTTCCCTTAAGTATTTTTTGTACTTCCGTAGACCTTAGGTTTTGCCCAAGCATGCTGATACTGGCTGCTTGTTTTCCAGTTGCCCCAGTACAATCCTGCCTGCACTCAGCAACTGAGTTCGCCAATAGAAGGGGTGATAAACCAACTCATTCAAAAATAGTTCTCCAATATTAAACTTGTAGCAAAATGATCATGTTAAGGGTGTCCAGAGAAGCATTTTGCATATAAAAGAAAAAACGCTGCTCTGCAGGTGAGTTTTGAGGTGTGCCCTGAAGCCATATGCCCCACAGAGCTGAAAAATTCAACAAATACAGGACCTGTGATGCTTGGATGTCTTGGGGTAAGGAAATGTCTCAAATGACACCTGGCAGTCCTAGTAACTCTAAACTCTTCTGGGAACAATTGGTAACTCCCTGCAAGGAATTCATGTGCTTGGGTATGATTCTTAGCACAGCTATTGCCCAGGTGTGTGGAAACCTATTAAGGTCAATGTAGTTCCCTGTTATTCCCATTATGACTGATGCAATCACTGTGACCAGTTTTGTGCCAACCTCCTTTGTCTTTCAGTTGTGTACAATCATTCTCAGTTGTGTCTAGTTAAAGAGCACTCAGATGTGAATCTAACAAGTGCAGTGATTCACAGAACTAGAGAATGTCATGGGACCTGGTAGGCAGGATGGTCAGATGTAAAAGCTGGGGCTGAAATTCCCTCTTCTACATCACTATTGAAGGTGTGTAGGTTGGAGCTACTCTTGGCCAATCTTACTGGGAGGTTATCTAGTCCAAGCCTGCTCAGTCCTAAGGCCTCTGATCTGATATGCGCGCCCAGCAGTTTCCTTAAAACCATCTAAGGAAAAATATTCTGAATCATGGGATGAGATCCACTAGTGTGCCAGGAGTGTGTCACCAGGATGCCAGGAGTCAGTTTTGGGTGGAAAAATTGATAAACACTAGGTCCTGCTAGTAAAAGATGAAGTAAAAAATGTGGGGGAACCTAAGAGGAGTTCAGGTTTATGGAACAGGATTCTGAATTAGAAGTTGAATTGCAGCATCACCTGAAGGTGTTTTTAAAAATAATCTTAAGTAATATTGTATAGCATTGCAATGTAGATTTGTGCATGCTGCTTTTATTATGAACCTCCTAGTTCACAATGTTTGCTGTGATCAATCCCACGCATAGCATGGAGCCGCGAATGACTGAATGCCACCATTACACTTCTTATTCGTGGCAACTGCACTTGCTTACCTACAGGACTGTGGGCTCCATTTTGCAACTTCTGTTTGAAAAAAAATCCACTGTGCTGCTTGAAATGGTTAAAGCAATATACAACTAAACCTGTGTCAATCTTGCAGCTGCTACGTCACAGTGGTGCTAGTCGGAGGAAAAGCACTTTTTGAAGTCAGTAAGAAGGGCACAACTGTATGTAGCTTCTCTTTTGGCTTGAAACATGATTGATTAAAGTTGCCTGAGATTGTTTTGTGTTGGGGTTCAACAAAGCCTTCCATCTGCCCACCCCTCGTTTCTGCATTTGCCTGATAGTAAATCCTGTTGGGATTGAATCAGATTGCTCCCCAGTAAATACCTATTTAAGCTTGGAGCTGTTGGGTAGCGAAACTTTCCCATCTACAGCAGAAGCCTCTCCTCACTACAGTATGTGCTTTTAGTTGCCATGGAATCCTGTACTTAAACGTAATGTTAGCTGCAGCCTCTGAGTCAACTTCATAGCACATGCTATTGTTTATGGCTCTTGCAAAGCTTAAATAAAGGACTTCAGGTTGGCTAAGAAGAATCATTCTCTACATTGTACTTAAACACAGAAGAGGCACTGACAGCAGCTACTTGATACAGGGGTTGCATTGTTGAAAGCAACTTGCCCTTGCCTTCGCTGAGCCAAAGAATAAGAGCTGAGAAACAGCCGTGAGCTATCTTTAGGGATTGTTGGTGTGTGGCAGTTCTGCCTGCATTTGTTGTTGGTTGCGTGGCCATGAATTATTTCACTGGCAGGAAGATAGTTTATTAGATAACACAACTTTTCATTGTTCGTTTTGTGTAAAGCTTGTCGTAATAATAGATTTAAGTAGAGAAGCACAAGGGATCTTAATGTTAATTAAAACTGGGAAGCAGAAATATGAAGAAACACCTGTTAAGATGAGTAACAGGCAGGTTGGAATCTTCATCCACAATGGCATTTTTTGTGTGCAGAGAATGGTGGCCCGCTAGCACTTCTTTTGGGGAGGGGGAGACTAACCCAAATTTTATGAAATTTAGTGGTGTTCCCACAGTTGGCACAGATGGAAGCTGAAGTGGATCAACCATCCATTTTCCTGTTGTGGTTACATGTGGATAATCCTTACATGCACAGGCTAACACATGATTAAGGGCAGATTATTTAATTATTTGGTTAAGGCAGCCTTCACCAAAAACTGGTGTTTTGGAGCTGCAGCTCTGTGCTAGCTACAGATGATGGGAATTATAAAATCTGGAGGGCACCTGGTTAGTGAAGGTTGGGTTACATGCTTACATTGTCTAGCTTAATAATTAAGCAGCAGGTAGCCTCGTATTAGGGAAGCGGGTGGCGCTGTGGTCTAAACCACTGAGCCTAGGGCTTGCCGATCGGAAGGTCGGCGGTTGGAATCCCCGCAACAGGGTGAGCTTCCATTGCTCAGTCTGAGCTCCTGCCAACCTAGCAGTTTGAAAGCACGTCAAAGTGCAAGTAGATAAATAGGTACTGCTCTGGCTGGAAGGTAAATGGCGTTTCTGTGCGCTGCTCTGGTTTCGCCAGAAGCAGCTTAGTTGTGCTGGCCACATGACCCGGAAAAACTGTCTGCGGACAAACGTTGGCTAGTAAAGCGAGGTGAGTGCCGCAACCCCAGAGGTGTTTGCGACTGGACTTAAGTGTCAGGGGTCCTTTACCTTTACCTTTACCTTTACCTTTAGCCTTGTATTTGTGGGAAATTAATCATTCTGGCTAGTATATGTGAATAAGTTTCAGGAAAAACCCTTCCTTGCCCTTCTTTCACATTTGAGCATTGTCATTGCCCCTTGCCCCTCAAGAATTCCCAAAGCAATGTGGTGCCATTTTTTTCAGTCAGTCAGATTTGATGACCTCATCAAGTCAAATCTGAGAGATCTCATACAGCCAAATAATAAAGTCAAAAAGAAGAGATCATATTGCCTTCACTTTGGAAAGGCTTTTGATGATGTCATGCACTCACTTTTTACCCAGCACTAAAGGTTCCTAAGTAAACTTCGCGCTCCCGTAGGAGAGGACAAGAGTCCTTTTATGGAGTTCTGTTTAAAAGGGTAGGTCCTTTTATGTGTCGGTAACTGGGTAAAGGAAAGGAAATGGAGTTAATAAACTTAACTGTTTTCAAATGGAAAAAAGAAAGTAGTGGAGTTCTGCAAGAATCTATATTTGGACCGATGGCATTTTAATTTATTACCTGGGATCAGAGGTATGCCATGTGGTAGCCAAGTTTGTGGGGGACAGCAGTTTATTCTGGATGGTAATAGCCAAGCAGGCTGAAAAGAACTCCAGAAATATCTCTCCAAATTGGATGAAAGTCAGGCATACTAGAGCAAAATCCAATATTTGATGGGAATTGGAATCCAACAATTTCTGGGAAACTACACGTCTG